CCAGGTTCAACCTTTCCAATGATTATCTGCGACTGTCATCGATAGGGTGAGCAATTCTATAGACGCGATTCCATGAAGAACGCAACACGACGGTTTTCCACGTCGGTTTATGTGCATTCACATTTTTATCTTAGTTTTCACTTCAACGAAATCAGTAGTTTGAACTGTTTCTACTTTTTGCAAAGTGAAAAAAATGCGCAACCAATCAGAGCTCAGGAACTGAACTGTTGCCTTCGATTCGCGAGAATAAATTCGCCTAGTGGAAAACAGGCTTCAATGACGATCCGTTTAGACAGCAACTGACAATCAGCGGATGGCATCGCGTCATCTAGTACTCACGGAAATTCAGAGTTTGATTCCTCAGCTGATGGTCATATGACCATCGTACGACGCTGTGAGTTCCCTGCTCTAGGCCTGCATTGGCTTGCCTCTCATTGTTTTTTAAAAGCACATAAAAAATAACAAATCAACTTTTTAAAAAAAACCAATGTGCGAAAATAAATTATGATTTTTAAGGTACATGCGGCTCTTAATGTTCTGTAACTTGTAATAATGTAACAAGACTCTGAAATGCTTTGGCTTAAATCAGGACAGTTTTATATCCTTTTGCCAACCTTTTATCTGGCTGACATTGTGCAAGTCCATATCTATTTTATTCATTTACTGCTTACCATTAGGCAGTATATTTCTATGCTTCAGTGTAGATCACATGATTTTTGTTTGTGAAATAACACAAAATATCTCCAGTCTCGTTATTTACCAATGCTATATTAATGCACATTATTTATGCATGACTGAGCAAGTAGCTTCTACTCCCTGGGGAAAACTATGTGCTCTTTGATACGTGCAGGTAATACAAAAACAAACATTACTACAGTACATGTAACATGGATCATATTCATGCCGGTAATAAAAGCACCTGTTAGTATAAACGACGCACTTTGCCATTGCAAAAAATAAAGATTATTTACCACATCACCATGGCAGCAAAGTAAAGAGGTGGGGGAGGGGGGTTCTTTTCAAAATGAATGCTGTAAATTTTGTGAATTTGTACTGTGAAACAATTACGCCACTGTAACATCAATCTGTATCATGGAGTGTATTTAACTAAAACTACTGTATAAACTAAGCTTGTTTTCAATTTATTTTGTTTTTTGAAATTCATGTACAGTATATGTACTGTACTATCTCGAAGCCTATGTTATCTTGAAAAGAACTTCTTTTCGAGGCTAATTTTGCAAACTATATAAAGAGGGAGGCTTCAATTCAAGATGGGCTTCATCTCGAGGTTACTGTAAGCCCAATGGGCTTCAATTCAAGGTTTTATGGTAGGTTGTTGAAAAACTTCTTCTGTCAGTGGCATATCTAAATATTTGTAG